TTCGCTTACACTAATATTCTGATACTGACTGTGACACCCCCAAATTCACGGTCATTTTAAAAATTTTATTTATGCTTATTTAAAAATCAGAGTATCCTTTTTGAAAAATCGTATTGCGGAATTTGTTCCCAGAAAACATGATAAAGATGTTATCAAAGCATTTCCGAAGAAATGTATTTTTGTTTAAAACATTGGGATGTCATCGCCAATACATAAACATAAGCATAACGTAATATTACAAGTCGTACAGTAATTAAACTAGTGGCCAAATACTCGTTGAATCTCTCAGCAGAATGTATATTTCATATAGCCACCTGTGATACAATAGACTGAGTGGGTTAGGTTGGGAAACTAGATGAGTACATAGGGTTTTCAACCCACAATAATATAATTATTATGTTTAATCATCAAACAATTAACACAATTTCCCATCCCAGTTATCTTCTTTATTCTTAAGGATCTACCCTAAGAATCATGTATTCATCATTTATTTATTCCTAAGGATTGTCCTAAGGAATAGGCACAAAGTCCATCGCTACCAGGGTTTATCCAACATGCACAAGTTCCATAGTTGCCGATGTTATCTATTAGGCACAGCTGTCGATGTTCATTTGTAAGGCACTAAGTCCATAGCTGCCAGGGTTTTTAGAGTACATCTGGTGAACATGTCGTTCACAAACACCTACAGGTTGCGAGCCTGCTAGCTTTCCACTGGACTGTTTAGAATAGTCTGTGGTCGTCATCTATACTCTGCTAGATGACTGGAGCAGCTTTAAAGTCAAGGCTTCTCATCATCTTTCACCTCTCATCATATATTTCATCTTTCATGTCTCATCATTCATCTATCCATCTTTACCCAATATATTTATAGGTATAAAAATACATATACAGTTTAAATCACGTAAAACATGTATAAATCGTTCATCTAGAATAGATATCAGGAACACAGATAATAAGCACATATAGCATGTATTAATATTAAATACTTCATATCTATATGTAAGATGAAAGTAACTATGCACTCACTTGTTAAAGTGATGATTCGAAATTCGGGCAACGTTTCCCTTCTAACAATTGTCTTTTCCTTTGATGAAACCTTGTATCATTATTACTAATTCTTAGTCTAATATTTATTGCGACTAATTATTAGTCTAGATTCATCATTAACTCAAAGTCTACTTTCATGATCTATCAAGTAATGAACAACCAGGTACGATTATATCGGAGGTAGAGTCCATTTCGTATATGAAGTATACTGTTTGGAAATCCCACTTTAAACACCTCACTAAATCACAACCTAGACATCATCCCTGTAAGTAGATCAATCAACGTAATGACTTGGAATCACTGATAAATCTTGTTTATAGGTTCATAATAACGATAATGAACTTAAACATAAGTTATACTTAATGTATGGTAAGCATAACTCACTTACAGGGGGGGGTTTAGCGAGATATCCGGGCTCTGCGCGGGTAGAACTTCTGAGCTGAAAGCTCTTCTTCTTGGGGCGTTCTGATGCTCTGGGACTCGCTACTAACACCTAGGAAGTGATAGAGAAAAGGTCTTAGGACCTTGGGGGTTTGGGAGAGAATGGAGTTGTAAGGTGTAAGGAATGGAGTGATTTTCGGCACTATTTATATGTTGTCCAGGGGCTCTTCACGTCGTAAGACTTTGCTCTCACGTCGTGAGCTTGCGTAGGCACCAAGGCTTCGCCTGGTGCTGACACGTTGCGTAGGATGCAGGTAAAATAGTCAATTTTAAAAAATTCATAACTTTCGGATACGAGCTCCTTTTTTGACGTTTTTTATATCCACACGTAGGTATTGACAAGATCTACAACTTTTGTTTAGACTCCGTCGGCTACTTTGAATTTTTTTTAAGTTATATTTTAACAGGCTTAGACAGTTAAAGTCTGTTAAAAATTCATAAATTTGTCATCCGACGTCCGTTTTTTACTGTATTTATATCGTTGAGATGCTATTAACGAGGTCATCAATTATCGTTTAGGTTGTGTCGGCTAATAATCGACCGATCTAAAATTCGATTTTTGAGTTGTATACTGGTACGCTAAATAATAGAAAAATCATAATTTTCTCAAATGAAGTCAAATTTTTACGTTCTCTATATGCACGCTCTCAGTTTAACGACTACTATGATTTTCATTTAGATCGCTAAGGCTAAAAAGTATTTTATCAAAAATTCACTTTTTACGATACACGGTGTTGTGCCGGTTCTGTCGCAAGACTTCGACGGGTCATAACTTCTTCGTTATAAGACGGATTTCAGCGTTCTTTAAATGTATGAAATCCTTGTGACATATATTCTAACTTTGGTTAATATTATTTATCCTAAATAATCTCCTATCAAAAATTCATTTTTAACGTTTATTATCTCTAAATTGACTAGCATGAATCTGCGGACGTTATATGGAAAAAGGTGACGAGTACCGTACCAATCATCATTTGAATTCAAAGTTTTGAGAAATAGCGAAGGCCATTTGAAAAATGAACGGGTTGTAAAATAACCTAAAAACCCAACGGAAAAGCGGCCAAGGAGATGAAGAAATACTTTAGGAAGCTTTGCATTTTTTATCTAGAGGAAGTGGGAAAGCCATTCAAGTGGCACGATTGCTGGAAAATATTGATTAAAAGTCCTAGGTGGAAAAAATACGAGCAAGACTTTATACTTGCAGCACAACAATCAAAGCGAACGAAGACCCTCCGACCTTATAGTCTGTGAACATAGTGAAATATTAAGAAAGTAAAGATATATGATGATAAAAATATTTAAATTCCGTTGGAAATTTTTTTTTTTTTGGATTTTAAAGATACTGAATATGAAAATATTCAAGATTAATCTTTAAGTCGGATAGAATATCTTCCTATCTAATAAATGAATCCTTTGATGCCTCTTTTCACCCATTTCACCTTCAACTTAAATTACCATCTTACCCTTCAAATCATAAAGTCGCATTGCTATTTGTTATGTTCCTGATTTTTTCTGCATATTTCTCTCGTCTAACCTCTTCAACAATAGAAGCTTTTCTTTTGTAACGGATCACTTAAATCTTGGACCCTTGCATTCACATTTTAACATTTTAACATAGTCTTCATTATCTCTCTATCTCTCCAAACCCTAAGTGCCGCATGTTATCGATTACTCCTAATTGAAATTGTCACCAAAAAGATGATTTAAATTGTGTGTTGTTGCTGCCATAGCCTCTCACACACTCTCTATTCAAACCGACATCTTCCCTGTTTCCTTTAATCTAGGGTTTTATTTCACCGATTTAAAGAAAGTTAGCGCCTAAAGAAGAGCAGAGCAAGCATCTGGTTTGGTTTCTTCATTGTCGTCTATGGATTGGCTATGCTTTGGCTATCATCATTATAACAAGATTATGTCAAAATGTTAGTCAAATCTCTTAACAGGTGTTCCCCTTCATCTCTCTTGCTTTCAAGTTCACAAAAAGTGTTCATGTGGGTAGTGCGGCTAAGAGCCACCATGGTGGCATCACAGTTGGTATTTCGACACCATTTGACAATGTTATTGATTTTTCAAAAAAATAAACCCTTCTATCTCTCTGGACTTGCAACCAGATGTTGAGCATCCATGGCATCATGTTGTATCTTGATCGTACATATGTAAAGAAATTTGCCCATTTGAAAATGATAGAGAGCCATAGGTAATTACCTCTGTTTGGGCATCTTATTTAAGGGACATTTAATCAGGACTTGTGTTCCTAAGCTTTTATTTTTCATTTGTTTGTAAGAACTTGACAGCAATGTGGAGATCAAGTTGGTGAGATTAAACTTCACATTCTTAGATAATACCAGGAGGTAAAAGGGAGATGCTTGATGTTTTCCTTCAATATAATAACTTTCATAATGATTTTTAAATTTGATTGCTCAATTAATTTTAGTTTTGATTAATCGTGGCAAAAGGAATATGTTTAATGTTAAAGTTTTAGTTTTGATTGCTCAATTACTTTTAGTTTTGATTTAGCAGGATTATACTCAATTTATGTGTTAGCGATATGATATAACTTGGCTGACTTTAAAAAAAATCCGTTTTGGCTCTCTTTATTCATTGCTATGTACATTGTTATAGTAACCTTTATATTGCAATTTTGATCATCTTTTAGGTGTTTTTGCACTATATCAAAAGGGGGGAAATGTATAAAAACTAAAAACTATCATCAACATACTTCTTTGTCCAATACTATACTGCTCCATAATATTCATCTCATATTCACTATTAAATCCATTAGCATTTAAAGGTCTACATTGAAATTGCATATCTTTTTTGATTTTTTGTTCTTGGACTTGGTGAAATCTTTTTATTAAATGTTTATGCATACAGAACGTATATATGAGAGATTTTAAATAATCAATATAACAATCATAACAAAACTTATATCTTATTAATTCAATAAGATTTTATTGATCTTTGATTTTTCATTATCATTTTTAATTATAAATATTATTTTTCTTTCTAACCCGTGGTTTCTACGGGTTGTAACCTAGTTTATGCAATAAAAGCTTGTCACGAGGTTACTATAGTAATTTTACTTCTAAGTCTCGGTCAAATAGTTATAAATTGATATCCTTAATTATCAACCATGTTATTATAAAAAAAAAAATCTGTTCATTAAATATTAATTGGTGTTTTCAAAGTATTAATATAGTTTATGTTTTGAATTTTAAATAAAAAATTGGTATATTTAGGTTTATATATTGATAAGCTTATCTAAATTCTCTTAAATATTTACCATGTTAATCTATTTATTTTCTGTTTTGTAATCACACAAAAATAATTATGTTGACTAGTAGATTGATTTTATATATAGAAAATAACGTTTTTGTTGCCAATTTTAGCCTTTTACCCAACAATTTTATACAGAAAACAATGTCCTAGTCCTGACTAAACATTTTAAGGATAAGCAACTAATTCATTTTTTCTATATCAGGAATCATACTTCAATGTTTTGAACATCAATTTTGACAACCAACACTATATTATGAATCTTATAATCTTTTTGTTTATTTATCTATCTATGGCATGTGCACTTTCCATGCCAACAAATTGCATACAACCATGGCGGGCAGACGTAGTCATTACAATCTATAAATTGCTTACAAGCATGTCCTTCATCTGCGGTGGAAATGGTGCTTTGAATTTGGTTTTCAATAGCACCAACGGCGTTTTTACTTGCTTTTTCAAGATCAACTCCTAATACTGCAATAAGTCAATAACACAAAAAACTTACATATTATTGTGCATTCTTTATAAGTTTTGGAAACTAATCAAAGACATAATAAACCTCAGAATAAAATAAGAGAAAGAGGGAGAGAATTACCGCAAGAAGGGAACAACAACATGGCAAAAACAACAAATTTGAATAAAGAATGAGTCATATCTCTTTCTTGTTGTTATGAGAAGGGGTTTCTGTTGTGAATTCTGAAGACTCGTGAAATGAATTTATAGATATCAATCAAGATTTCTCATATCAAATAATAATGTTTTAATCAATGCTAATTTAATCCCCTTTCCGGATATAAAAATTTACATTTGACCAAATAATAATGTTTTAATCGATGCTAATTTAATCCCCTTTCCGGATATAAAAGTTTACATTTGACCTTAAATGATAAATGTCATTTATAGATTTTAGACCTTTTAATAAGCAAGTGCACGTGAGTAAATGGAGGAATATCCTCTAGACGCGCCTAAGTGATAGAAGTGTTTCATTTCTTGTTGTTATAGGCGATTAGCATGTATTTTATATAACTTTATTAGAATTGTGTTTAATTTTATTTGCTGACCAGGTGGGAGACCCGTATATTAGGCCTTGTGGTATACATACCACGAATGGAATCGTGGTCTAGCTGGCCACGAAAACGGCTCGTGCACACCACCCCGACGTTCCGTGGTCGGGCGTGGTCGTGCTTCTTCGTGCTCCCGACGACGGATTCAAACGAACAATGTGATTGGTTGTTGGGTTTTTTGGCCGTTGAACGGCTATTTTGGCCGTTTCTTTTTTTTTTCAAAATCAATTCACTAAATATAAATAAACATTCTATTATACCAAAACTTACACCTCATTCTATTCTCTAAAACCACAAAACACATACACATGGATTCCACAATAGATATGGAATTTTTAAAAAGTTTTGACTCGGATGACGACGTAGAATTCGTCGAAACATTCTTCAACGTTGTGCAACACATTCACGACGAAGAAAGTTCGAATGCAGCTCGTACAAGGACGGTCGTCAATCGTGATCGCCAAGCCGCACACGACTTATTGGTATGTGATTACTTTGCCGATAATTGTCTTTATAATGACGACTCGTTCGAACGTCGTTTCCGTCTGAATAAGGCTATATTTTTACGTATTAGTAATGCTTTAGAATCTCGTTATGATTTTTTCAAACAAAAACCCGACGCTAGAGGAAGAATGGGTTTTAGTAGTATACAAAAATGTGCGGCTGCTCTTAGGTATTTGGGATACGGTATAGCATTTGATGCATCTGACGAATACTTGAAAGTATCCGAGAGGACCGCAGTTGAATGTGTAGATTGGTTTTCTGCATGTGTTTATGAGGTTTTTCACGAACAATATTTGCACAAACCTACTCAACGTGATATTGAGAGATTATATTCGGCTCATGAAGAGAGGCATGGATTTCCGGGTATACTTGGCAGTCTAGATTGTACGCATGTGGCTTGGGAAAAATGTCCAACTGCATGGCGTGGTCAGTTCACTCGAGGAGATATAGGTGAACCAACTATCATCCTAGAAGCTGTTGCATCTCAAGATTTGTGGATACGACATGTCTTTTTTGGAGTAGCGGGGTCTAACAACGACCTTAATGTTCTTGGCCAGTCTCCACTTTTCAACGATATTTGGACCGGTAAAGCACCTGATATGACGTTCACGGTGAACGGGCACGCGTACAAATACGGTTACTACCTTGGTGATGGAATATACCCGGATTATTCTACATTGATGAAGGCATACTCGGTACCTCGAAGTGAAAAGGCAAAAATTTTTACAAAAAAACAGGAATCGGCGAGAAAGGATATCGAGAGGGCATTTGGAGTCCTTAAGCAGACATGACATGTAGTGAAATATGCTACACGACTCTGGGATAAAGAAAGAATTAAACGAATGGTCCTAGCATGTATTATAATGCATAATATGATTATTGAAGATGAAGGTCGAGCGATTTGCACGTATGATCCGAACGACGTTGTCGTTCCAATTGAGGAGTTTGTACCCGGAACGAATGCTTTTTTAGAGCGAGCTGTTGAAATTCATAACAGTGAAACGAGTTTCAATCTTTGAGAAGATGTCGCGGAACATTTGTACCAACGTAGCATGAACGACGATTAGGATTTTTATATGTATGTTTGTTTGTTTTTTTAATTAATGTAATGTTTTTTTTTTCTAGATTAACTAAGTAATGTAGTTTGAAGTTGCTATTTTATTTTTATAATTAATGAAAAAATAGTTTAAAAAAAATGAATGCTTTTTAATTATAAAAAATGTAATTTTATTGTATTTTTGAATGAAAAAAAATGTAATTTTATTGTATTTTTGAATTAAAAAAAATAAAAATAATGATGTGGAGTGGTGTGTTAGTGGTAGGTATCACATGTTAGTGGTAGTGGAATGTGATGCTGATGTGGCACCCACCACATATGTGATATGTGGTGGGTATAACGGATGGCCTTACACGGGTTTATTAAAAGCAAAAGTTTAATTCAAAGTTATAAGAATTACATATTTTTTAAAGTAATAGTTTTATATAAATATAAAAGATATAGTAAATAAAGTAAGTAATTTAATATATAATATAAGAGATTTGAAAGATTATAGAGCATTTATTATGAAATTAAATAGAATGACCAACCTTACATATATAAATCTTACTAAAATGTGGATTTTTTTTTTAAATTTGTGGAAATGAAAAATATAAGAAAATGACAAGTGGAAAAAAAATAATTCAAAAACTCTTAGAAAATTACATGTGTCAAATTCAATGACAACATGACATTTGACAAAATTATTTTCATTTATTATGGAGGATTAATCAAAGGACCTCTCTACACAACTGTCACTGAAAGTTGTACATGGTTTAAGTTCCTTCAAAGAATACTTTAATGATGGGATACAAATGCTCATCGGAACGAATTTCACAAGAGCCATGAATGGAGGAATTCGAATTGAAGGGGACGAAATAACCTTGTACAAAAGGGTTACAAAAATAAGATCTTTCCCCCAGGCAGAGGTTGCTGCAGTCGAAGAAGTTCAAGGATGGGACTGGTACGACGATGAAGCTCATCAAATGTTACAGGAAGCATATGTAACTTCACCTGCTATACCAGAGATTAGTCTAAATCTCTCAAAAGATTTCAACCCAGTCATCCAAGAGCTTAAGCAACAAGGCTATATTGGTGAAGAACCGTTGAAACACTGGCGAAAGAATGGAGAGTTGTGCAAAATTGATATCATTAACCCTGATATCACAATACAAGACAAGCCTCTCAAGCACGTGACACCGGCCATGGAAGACGCCTTCAAAAGGCACATTGATGCTCTACTACAATTAGGAGTTATAAGACACAGTTCAAGTAGACACAGGACCATGGCCATGTTAGTCAACTCAGGCACAACAATCGACACCAAAACTGGTGAAGAGATAAAAGGAAAGGAACGTATGGTCTTCAATTATCGAACATTGAATGACAATACGTACAAAGATCAATACTCCCTGCCAGGTATTAACATGTTGCTACAAAGAATCGGGAGATCCAAGATTTATTCCAAATTTGATTTAAAATCAGGATTCCATCAAGTAGCAATGGAAGAAGCATCCATACCATGGACTGCTTTTCTGGTACCAGGAGGATTATATGAATGGCTAGTTATGCCATTTGGGCTAAAAAATGCCCCAACAATCTTTCAACGAAAAATGGATCGATGTTTTAGAGGAACAGAAAATTTTATCGCAGTTTACATTGACGATATTTTGGTCTTCTCAGAAAACGAAGAGCAACATAAACACCATTTAAGGATATTGGTTCAAAAGTGCAAAGAATTTGGCCTCGTCCTCTCTCCAACAAAAATGAAGATTGCCTCGGAGCAGTCGTTGGAAGGCAGAAGCTTAAACTCCAACCACACATAATTAAGAAAATTGATGATTTCAATGAAGAAAATATGAAGACAAAAGCAGGCCTACGATCATTCTTAGGAATTCTTAATTACGCAAGAGGATATATCCCAAAGCTTGGTATCTTACTTGGACCCCTATATGAAAAAACAAGCCTGCATGGAGACAAAAGGCTCAAACCTTCAGATTACGAACTGATAAAGAAGATAAAGAGGCAGGTTCAAGAGTTACCAGACCTTCAAATCCCACCAAAAGAAGCCTATTTAATTCTAGAAACGGATGGATGCATGGAAGGATGGGGAGGAATTTGCAAGTGGAAGAACAAGAAAGGAGACCCAAAGTCTCAAGAACAAGTTTGCGCCTATACCAGTGGGAGGTTTAAAACTATACAATCCACCATTGACGCTGAAATCAATGCCTGCATAAACACACTGGAGAAATTGAAGATCCATTACTTAGACAAGAAGGAAATCACCCTCAGAACTGATTGCCAGGCAATAATTAGTTTTTACAACAAAACTAATTCCAACAAAGCCTCAAGAGTCCGGTGGTTAAAGTTTACAGATGCAGTTACAGGAACTGGAGTCCAAATCAATATCGAACATATTGATGGGAAACAAAATGTTTTAGCAGACTCCTTATCACGAATGGTAACCTTTTGTTTGCAGGATCACGAGAAGCAGCCAGAGGCCAAGATGATAATGAAAGTAGCCGAAGAAGCAATCCAGGATAAGGGAATTAGTAAAGACCAAAGGATGGAAGAACTCAAGCAAATGCAAAGCCTTTTGGAAGAATTGAAGTTACTACCAAAACCCATAATCAAAACCAAGGACCAAACCGCAGGAAGTTACTTACCCTTTAGCCCAAAGATTTACTCAAGAAAGTCCTTCAACCTTAAAACCACAAAGCATGGCAAACATGAATCTGGCCCAATTTCATGAAGCCCATAAAAAGGAGAAAAATTGTAAAACCCAATGGTATGAAGCAGAAACCCATGACGATAGCGGAAGATGGGAATGGTATGGAGCACGTTTTGGAACATACTCAATACGGGCTAATAAAGTTGAAGCCCAAAGCCAAACCAAAGCCCAAGGAAAAGAAATCATAGATCAGGCAAAAAGAACCCAAAGGCCTAACAATTCCCTGTCAATCAACTGCATAACTGAGGAAGAGGAAAAGCCCATTTTCAGAAACAACCCGGTCCATGCATACAAGCCTAAAGGAGACTGGATTGGTGAATCACAAGACACGAATAAAAAACTAGGC